TTTTAAGTATATGTAGTCCTAAATTTATTGGGACTGAAGACGTTCAGGAGATGAACCTAAGAAGTTTCTTTGATTAAATATAAATCATTGGCTATCGAGGTGATCTATGCTTGAAATGTGCCTCCACGCATGTGCGCACACTTCATTCATTTTTATATCGGCAGCCACAAACACCAGCCACTCTCTGCAGCCTAGCCTTACGCCGCCCGGGTATTTTATGTGAAGTCTGTTTCGAGTGTTTTCCTGCTCTCGCGACCCAGGCTTCCCTGTTCATCATGTTTCCAATGAATTTAACAACGGCTAGACATTACACTGCCGTTTATGTAATTCGGTTATTGTTGGTTAACTATGCGTAATTAATTCTTATTCTTGGCATCCGTTTAGAGCGTTCGTATACTGACGCACGTAAACGCATTCGAAAACAAACGGTGTATTTTGAAGACAGACTGATGTGGAGTAACACAGATGCTCTCCGCACTTCACAACACAAGAGATGTTTCTCTTGCTGAGAGTAAAACAATCTCGTCAAGTCTAGCACTTTAAACAGCACAAGCATATTTAGGATGATTATTTCTGCTTGCATGACTATTTCCTGGAAGCATGCATACCCTGCTGTCAACTGTTGCTACCCTCAGTGGGTGCTTGTGTAGCTGGATAGTAAAGGAAGAAGAGAAAGGTGAGGAAAACGATGACGATCACGAGGAATAAGGACGAAAATGACGAGGATATGAGTTAGATTAAAAGAACAAGGGATAGAATAAAAGGGAAGAGCGGAAGGGTGAAGAAGATAAAGACAAGAGATACCTGAAAGACGCTTACAAGGGTCAACGCTCCCTGCAGCCAGGTCACTGACCAGGCCTCTTGGAGCATCAAGGCCTGATCAACCAGGCTGTTACTGATGGCCGCATGGAGCCCAACGTATGAACACAAGATAATAAGGGAAAGAAGGCAGAGGATGCCAAGAAGGGTTTGGAGCGAGGGGAAGAGTTTTAAATGGAAAATTCTTGAGTACCCATTAAGCGCGCGCGCGTATGTGTATGTGTATGTGTATGTGTGTGTGTGGGGAGGGGGGGAGTCTGAGCAAGGTAACATTTAGAAAAGATTCAAGGAACCTAGTTAGCGGGATTTTAATCCAGGTGATGGGAAGTACAGCACCTGCACTCTGAAAACCCCTCTGGAAAGATCGCTACTGAATAAATGATGGTGAAGGTGTTTACTTTTACGTCACCCAGCCTTAGTGGGAGACAGCTGATGAGGTGAGATTTTCTTGTATTTGCGTGTATGTAGTGAAAGATGAGTAATATACACCTGTGTTTTGGTTATAACAATGATTACATATAAAATTTATGAATAAATAGGGAGGTACATTGGATAAGTCAAAGAACTGACCCTTGGGGGACCCCACTTGTGACTTGTCACTAACCCGAAAGTTTTTGTATCTCATGTACCACATGATGGGTACTGAGAACAGTTTTAACCACATCGTCACTAGTTACGTTGTATACACTCGGCTAAAAAAACATTAACAGGATTCCGAATATAACCTCGATCAACCTGAGCAATTACACACACAATACTTCGAGTATTTTTCCACATCTCCAGTACCGGTTCGTGGCCAGACATCCTAATTAATGAGCACACGTGATCACATGAGCTATTGCTACCTGCAGCCATCAGGCCCCTATAACCACCCACTGTAACCTGGCCAACGAGGCTCTACCTGCAGGAGCGTGTTTGTTTTCAAGACTTGTGTAATATACGTATATAATTTTTAAAGGGGTGGACCGGTAAGGTGGCGGAAGGCCTCAGTCAGATAACCAAAAGCTCCAGCTGCTGGTCATCATATAACTATGACCCGCGTCAGGAAAAACACTTGTCTTGTTTCCAGACAAACCTTACCTAACCTTAGACTTCTTTTTTTTTTTATCCGTAGTAACCGACTTCGTGTCAGTGTGGCGTTTTAACTGCCGTAAGAGTGGTTTCTGATAAGAAAAATCAACCATTCTCCTAAATGACAACGTATTTCGGAACACTCAAACATACTACTCTGTACGTCGTAGCGACCCTCAAACTCTCACACCAATGACACTTAGCACGACCAACCTTCTCACCCACGTTGCATTTCACCAAATTCAAACACAGACTTGCCGTGGAGTGTTTGAGGCAGAATCACGGTTTACGATTTAACCTTTTTTTTTGGGGGGGGGGGCCAAAAGAGGGCTTTGGGTTCGCAGGATCAAGCAGGAATTTTCCAGAATACAGCTGACAAAAGCATTCCGAGTTCCCTTTACCATGGAAAACCATTTGAGCTTCCCGTCTGTGGTATAGTGTCGTGGAAGCTGGAGATGACACAGGTGAGTTGCATCTTGTGCATAAAAACAAGTTACATTATCAAACTGTTACTAAGTCACAAAAACAACAGAGAGAAATTACATACATATTACACACACCCACATTATCTACTTGTGTGTGTATATATATATATATTATATATATATATATATATATATATATATATATATATATATATATATATATATATATATATATATATATATATATATTATATATATTAATTATATACATTTTATATATATATACATATACATTATATATATATATATATATATATATATATATATATATATAATATATATATATATATATCACACACACACACACACACCACACACACACACCACACACACACACACACACACACACACACACACACACACACACACACACACACAAGTAGATATACAACTTTCAAACGGTTATCTAATTTCGCAACATAAGCACATTAAATTCTTAATTCTCGTAAAAGTAGTTATCAATCCACAAGGAAAACAAAGAAAAAAATATATTTTTAAGAATATCTGACTTGCCTGAGCGAACTGGTTGAAAAAGAACATATACATTCCATGAAAAATTATACTTATTCCATAAAGCTATATTAGTTCGCGAAAATTTAGTAAGGCAAGCTTAGGTTGCCATGTTTGTTTATGTGCAAGAGTCTTATTCCAAGTTAATTCAAGTAAATATATCAATTTTATTATTTAAAACTTTCAAGATTTATTTTTCGTGGGTATCTGTTTGCCAGCTTTGTTGGAACCCTCTTCAATAACTGCAGATCTGATGCAAGTTGCCACGACACTCGATCCAGGCTAAAAGCAGGCAACATTCACACACCGTAGTGCAGATGCACTCATGACAAAACTCGCATTGGCTTGTTTGGCGAGGAGCAATTGGTGGCTACCTCTATTGGTTAAGTGCTAACATTGAACACATTCCCAACACACCTTCACTCACACCGTCAGCCTGGCTCACAGCACCTAGGTCGAGAAGGGCTGACTTGCTGATTATGGACCTAGGATAATAGAAAGGGCTGGCTGACGATAGACAAAGCACATCGAAAAAGCTTGACGACTCAAAATACGCATACTTTTAGGTCGAAAGGGCTGAATGACAATACATTAAATTCAAAGGATGAAAGGATTACCTGGCTGACAGTACACATAGGTCTAATAGGCTGGTGTACTTTATTTACGTTGCATGTGTTGGAAAGGGAACTATGGGCGGAGGTTAACACGTCATGTAGTAAGTGCTATTGCAGATGTGGGAGGCAATGATTCTGATAAGGGTAAGGTTCGTCAGGAAACAGGACGAGTGTTTTCTGACTCGGGTCTGAATCAAATGATAACCCGCCGTTGGAGCTTTTGGGCATTTGACCGAGACCTTCATCTGGCTTACTGGTCCACCCTTTACAAATTATGGTCATAGTTAAAACCATTTTATGATTTTATATATATACATTATATATATATAACTAGGTAGTAGGTTGGTAGACAGCAACCGCCCAGGGAGGTACAACCGTCCTGCTACGCGAGTGTAAAACGAAAGCCTGTAATTGTTTTACATGATGGTAGGATTGCTGGTGTCCTTTTTTGTCTCATAAACATGCAAGATTTTCAGGTAAGTCTTGCTACTTCTACTTAGGTCACACTACACATACATGTACAAACATTTATATACACACCCTCTGGGTTTTCTTTATTTTCTTTCTAGTACTTGTTCTAGTTTATTTATCTCCATGGGGAAGTGGAACAGAATTCTTCCTCCGTAAGCCATGCGTGTTTTAATCACCCTTAAATGGTCCAAACGTATATATACGTTTTTTCAACATCTGAAAGTATGTAAAAAAATGAAGATCTTCTTTTTTGTTTTACATTTGAAAACGTGTAAAAAAAACTTTTATCTACATTTTTTTTGTTATATTTGAAAATATGTAAAAAAAAGTAGATCTACTTTTGTAGCACTACGAATTTGAACGCCAGTCTCTTTGGACCGTTTAAGGGTTAAGAGGCGACTAAAATGCCGGGAGTAAGGGGCTAGTAACCCTTTCTCCTGTATATATTGCTAAATGTAAATGGAGAAACTTTCGTTTTTCCTTTTGGGCCACCCTACCTCGGTGGGATACGGCCGGTTTGTTGAAAGAATATGCATATAATGATTCTCTTAATGGTGGTTGAAAATGGTGGTATGAATGTTTGGTAGTGGTGGTGGTATGGATGTTAGGCTTTTTTTTTAAATTAACATCATTAATTACAAGGATACTTTTAACCCACACTTCCAGCAGGTACTGGAGTTACACAGGACATTTCGGATGGACTGGAGTTATTTAACACATTTTTCCCTGCATATGACCCATAACATTAGGCTAACACACAAGTATCTATATTCACTGCTAGGTAGGCTGTAGCAGTAGGGGTGTGAGGGAGGTGGAAGAGGAACACATGCTGGAATGGAGGTACAGATGCTGGGAGTAAGGGTGTGTAATGGATGCTGGGGTGAGGATGGTGTGGTATGGATGTTAGGGTGAGGGTGGTAGTGATAGAGGTATGAAGAGAACAAAGCTGGAGGTGAGGGTGGATGTCAACAAAGCCAGAACCATGAAGGGCGAGCCAGCTGCCCCAAGACCTATAAATAGAGGGAGAGGCGTCAGAGGGCAACATTCTGGTCATAGCTCACCCCGTGTGAATACATCTCTACACTCCTACCATGTGCAAGGTGATCCAACACGCTACCTTCTCTCATTTGCACCTCAAGAAATAAGGTATAAAGTGTCCTTTATAGCTTCTTCTTTGCGGTCATCACTTTACCTGTTAATGGTTCAGGGGATCAACGCCCCTGCGGCCTGGTCTTGGATCATGCCTTGTGGTTGACAGCCTGGTTGACTGGCCGTTGTTACTCGCCGTACACAGTTTGAATGGATGAGCACCTCAGCCAGGTTAATCAAGAACTATCCCGAGGAACTTAGTATGTTTATTATATTTACCTCGGTGTACTTATTGAACTAGTGCTTTTCACTGGGGGGGGGGGAATATTTTGCAACATGCCTCTAGTTACTGAATAATTACAGTATGCAGATATGGAGCCAGTATTCTCAGTATTTACCAAGAATAAATTTAACATTTCTTTCCAGCATTCAATCCAGTTAATGAAACTATAGTTTTAGGAATTTAAATGTTTGAATTTATAAAGCAATCAAAGCTATCTGTATATTCTCCAGATCCGCAATTTTACCTGCCGTTAAAATGGGTTATTAGTGCATACCAATTATATACCCCGGAAACATTGGGGCTGCAACTAATGTCTATAACTTTTATCTAAACTATTAATAAATTTTCATAAGAAGTAACCTCCTCAGCTGGAATGATGTACATGACTAAGATAAAAACGTCGCAACTTGACTTGTCCGCCAGATAGTCAAATTCAACTGGCTATGGATTTAAATTATGGTGCTGAAATTATAAATTGCTTCTGACAAATTAATGCTATAATCTGCCGCAATAGAGTTCGTTTCAACAATTAATTTTAATATAATTATCAAATTTAATGAGTTTTCCATTATCAAAATCTGTAACATGGTTGGGTTTATGTGTAAAAGTAATTATCTATTTGAATTTCAAGGTGTTAAGTTGCAGTTCTTGTGCATGTTACTGCTAGGATGTGTTGCTCAAACAGTTGCTAACAGTCGTTATCTTCCCCTCTCCCCCAGGTATTCCTACTGACTGTGGCGGGCGTGTTGGTGGCTGTGGCCTCCGCCCGTGCATCCAACTCCTACATCCAGCCTCAGACTTACAAAGAGGTAAACAATATCTGTTTATCCTTGTACGCACAAGTGCTATATTAAACATAATCATTTCACTGATAGAAAGTTAAGTGACTTTCGGTTTTCTACACTTTTTCCCACTCGTGCTTAATAATGATCCAAGACATACCGAAACGCTGTCGAGTTGCCGAATCAAACTGAAGCTTATCTGTAAACTACTCAAGCCATAAAACTACAATTTAGTCCAAGTCTCTTAACATAAGTAAATGTAGATCTAACTCTACAGTATGACAAAAAAATATAAATTTTCTGAAGACCATAAACGAAACAAGCGCACGAATCTAGCCAAACTCCTGAGAATCATGAAACAAACGCAGGATATCTAGCCTAGCTCCTGAGAATCATGAAACAAACGCAGGATATCTAGCCTAGGACCTGAGAATCATATTAAATGCAACAGAAATGGACTACCTTTACTATATAACATCTCGAGATAATGATAAGGAAGACAATTCAAACATTATCAAAGTCAATGACACGACTAACATCCCAAATGCTTGTAGATGCTTTTAAATAGTTTTGCGAGATGGAATATATATTGTTCGCCATGAGAAATGGAGAAAATTTCTCCTGTATTTTGACCGAGACCTCTGCTACCTTGTTGGTCCACTCCATAAAACAAAAAAATATTAAAATCTGGAAGAAGCGTAACATAAAAAGGCTAAAATTATACAACACACAAAAAAAGATAAAATTAATGCAACACCAAAAAAAAAGGATAAAATTAACAGACAAAAGGAACGTACGTAAACATCCTACACAAATAAAGTATTACACTAGGTAAAAATTACCAGGATTAATTAAAAACCCATTATATAATTAATGTTAAAAGAAACTTATAAAACTGACTGAAATGCTTGACAATAATTTTTGATCCCAAAAGAAAAGAGGGATGGTAGCTTTAATTTCTTTGAGCAATAACTCTTCACAAGCATCAGAGCAAAACCTTTAAAATTATATTAATTTAATCCGTAGTTTTTCAAAGTCGTTATTTGTTTTGTACTTTCAGTTTATATAATTAATATGAAATCTGACGATTTTATCAACATTCATTTTCATACACGTGGTTTTAGGAGCCAAAGCCGTACGCGTTCACGTACGGAGTTCAGGACGACTACGCCGGCACCAACTTCGGCCAAAACGAACAGTCTGATGGAAACACTGTCAGGGGTTCCTACACTGTCCAGCTCCCCGACGGTCGCAAACAGACGGTAAGACCTCAGATCTTTTAATATACCTTACCTAGTGTCTGTTTCCGGCTAACAATGTTTGTTTGGCCTTATTCCCCTCTTTCTTCTCCTCACCTTCCCTCCCTTCCTTGGTGTTCCATGTCCCTCCCTTTTAAAATGTCGCTGCAACTAACGTACTCATGGATACTGTTATCAAACATAGTTCTTTTAATCAAGGGACAGTGCTTAACATGTTGCGGTAATATAGCATCTGGGGAGTGGGAGGCACTCAGGTTCGATCCAGAGGAGGAAAGGATAAATACGGTTTATTATACTTATCCTCTCCTTCACTGAACAAAAAGCCGATGACTAGCATCCAGGAGGCTCCCTGAAGTGTGTTATCATATATACATCAATAAATTCAAATTCACGAAATTCAACTTTAGAAAGAACATACGAGAGAAATGGACTCCCAATAACGGTGTAGATGAGAATGGAACAAAATATAGAGTAGTGTCATTGAAGAGAAAACAATGAATAGTTTAAAGAAATGAGAGGCTAGTCAAATAGCCATGTTAGGCCCTGCCTAGCATGGGCCTACAGGCTTGCTACAATTTTCCTATTATCTTATGTCTACATTTAGTGTCCTCCCCATCATCAGGTAAAATATGAAGCAGACCACTACAAGGGCTTCGTAGCTGACGTTCAATACTATGGGCAGGCGCAGTACCCCCACCAGTATGGGGCACCCGTTACCTACAGGCCCCAGTACGGATACCAACCAGCTCCGACGTACCACTAGCAGCCTCCTCTCCACAAAGATCTTTCTTCCTCACCATTACATCAGCAAGTCTCCGCTCTACAATAACGATCTTTTTTTTTCCTAGCACCCTCGTACCACCGAGTCTACTTTTCATATCAATCCTCTTGTCTCTTCAAAATAATTGTAGACAAAGCTTTAAATAGGTAAGTTCTCGTTTCAGCAAGAATCTCACGATCAGTCTATATTAAGTGTGAAAAGCAACATACTAAATTTTCGCCCCTTGGTCACCACGTCCTGTCTTTCTCCCTAACCTGAATATCATCCACATCTACCTCAGCCTTACGTCCGTCACCAGTACACTCATCGGCACTCCCTCAACCTGACATAGAAGGATAGGTAGCATGGTGAGCGGAAAACCGAAGAAGCAATGAGAAAGATGGATGTTAAAAGTATTGTTATATAAGGAACTAAATTTTGGGCAACGTCATGTTCTCCCTAACCTATATTTCCACAAACCTCAGCACTTAGTCGTCACAGTACACTCATCGGCACTACTAACCTGACATAGCAGGATAGGTTGCATGGTGACGGGAAACGAAGAAGCAATGAGAATAATGGATGTAAAAGTATTGATTATATTCAGAGGAAGAAATGAAAGTATTGTGAAAGTGAAATTATATAGTTTAAAAACAGTATGACAGGACTACAAGGTTATAACTAACGATGCCAGTGGTCAGACAGCAAACGTGAGTGAGCATACTGTGATGATCATTGAATATTCAGCGCGAGTCCATGAATAACAATATAAATTCGGTTTTAAATATCTTATTCATTAAATCGGTCAAAACAAAAACTAGTGAAAGGGTCCATAGAAGACGCACTCCTTTGACACAATTTAAACGGTATCTTCTAAAATTTTAAACATTACGATTGGAAACTTAAAAAAAAAAGTAAGAAAGGGTTACCAAAGCCTCTTCTACCTGATGTTAGTGGTTCGCTACCCGTTGCCCAGACAGTCTACAAGATACCCCAGTCTACAAGATACCCCAGACAGGCTTTCAATGAATTTGGAAACACTTTGAAGGGGGCAAGTCCACCTTCGTGGAATGTTTTTATCATTATATAACTAGGGTTTTTTCAGGTGTATATTATTATTCTATACAAAATATATTTTTTGCACAAAATTATCTTTATCTAACATAACTAACCATTTTTGTAATTTATATTAACGAACGTTATATTGATTAGTAAAGCTTCACAGATTATACAAATGATTTGTACACGTGTAAGAGTTGCAGTTCTTCACATAGCAAACACTATAACCTACAATTATAAACTCACAACACATAAATTATATATATATACACACACACAAACAACCATGTGAAAGGATGAATTCCACGGCTCTCGTGACTACTCACATTATCAAAGAACAATGAAATAACCTTTACTTGATCTAATGCACACACACACACATTATAATATATATATATATATATATATATATATATATATATATATATATTATATATAAAATCAATAAACACTTAATATAATGAAATTACCTTATATACATATATAAAATATATAATATATGATTATACTATATCTTATTATAATCAATAATAAAATATATATATATATATATATATATATATATATATATATATATATATATATATATATATATATATATATATATGTCGTGCCAAATATGTAAAACTGGTCAATTAGCAAGAACTCGTTTAAAATTAAGTCCTTTCTGAAATTTTCTCTTATACGTTTAAAGATATATTTTTTTCATTAATGTTAATGTAAAAAATTTAATTTTGCACCAAAAGGAACTTAGAAAACTTACCTAACCTTATTATAACAAGAGCAATTTATTTTAGCCTAACCCAACTAAATATATTTTAGATTTCTTTACATAATTTAATACTAAACAAACACAGTGAAATATATTTTTTCGTTAGGTTCAGAATGATTTTGGCGAAATTATTGCATACACAAATTTTCGCTTGTCCTATATGGCAAGATGAACGTTGCTATTTAAGCCAAGATCGCAAGTTCTGCCTATTCGGCACGACATTAATATATATATATATATATATATATATATATATATATATATATATATATATATATATATATATATTTATATATATATATATATATTTACAAACGCACACACGTGTATGTCGTGCCGAATAGGCAAAAGTGGTCAATTATGAAGAAACTCGTTTAAAAAAAAACATACCACTAGGCGGGATTTGAACCCGCGGTCAGAGAGTCTCAAAACTCCAGACCGTCGCGTTAGCCACTCTCTGACCGCGGGTTCAAATCCCGCCCGTGGTATGGTTTGTTTGCAATCGTGTCATTACGATTTCGTGAGTCAACTCGTTTAAAATTAAGTGCTTTCTAAAATTTTCTCTTATACGTTTAAAGATATATCTTTCATTTATGTTAATGTAAAAATTAATAATTTTATACCAAAAGCACCTTAGAAAACTTACCTAACATTATAACAAGTTCAATCTAATTTAGCCTAATCCAACTAAATATATTTTAGATAAGTTTGCAATAACTTAATAATAAACAAACACAATGAAATATATTTTTTTTTCGTTAGGTTCAGAATGATTTTTGCGAAATTATTGGATACACAAATTTTCGTTTGCCTCATTCGGCAAGATGAGCGTTGCTATTTAGGCCAATATCGTAAGTTTTACCTATTCGGAACAACACACATATGCACACACACACACAACACACACACCACACACACACACACACACACACACACACACACACACACACACATTAGAAGCTCCCCGTCAACTATATTATTTACAAAATCTTCCCTGAAACATGAAGTCATTAATAAACTATGTATTTTGGCTCAACCAGTACCGTCTCTCTCCCCGCAACCTGACCCATACCGAGACGTTCATTAACGAAGTTTGCCACTATTTCTTAACACAGATGTTGAAGGCTAAGGTGTTACAAAGGAGGGATTCAGAACAAGGAACCATAGACGGAAGACACAAATGAGCCATAGATATATCAAAGGTATTTATTCTTTCTCTGGGTGGTGGTTAAGTTACATGAGCTATATATACGAAAGGTATAAGCTCTCTCCATTTACAGGTTTTAAAGTAGGTATGACAGAACCCGTGAGACTAGAATCCAGTTATGTCAGAAAACTTAACATAATAGATTGTTAGGATCCGTGTCTGGACTTCCAGAAACACAACTATATACGTGCAGGCACGTCCAGGAGCTCAGAAAAGTCTGGAAATTCAAAACAAGATTTGTAAAGAAATTGAGGGGAATGAACTACCAGGAAGTAAAGGAAGAATATCTAATGATCTTTGGTAAGTGAAGAACAATGTTTGCAATAATTATGACAAAGTTAAACAGACGAATTTATAGGAAGGATACAGTCTGAAATCCCAATATTATGGACAGCTTTAGTCTCAGGATCGTAGAAAATTTATGCAAGTAAATGAAATAGTAAGATACCTGTGACCATTTTCGAGAGCTCTCTTACTCTCAGTACGGTTGTTTCCAAAGCAAGCATAAAACCAAAGAGGCCTGAAAACCAAAACTCAACAAAGCAGACAAATTAGTGAAAGCCAGTCGTTGATGGCACAAAATATTACCATAACACTTTTAATATTGTGCATCCCCCCCAACACAAAAAAATGACGTTTGTTTTACTCTTCAAATCTTCCTGGATAATTAAAGGCGAGGTAGCGGGAAAAGACAGGATACGGGGATGGAGATGTGGGTGGCCATATAGTTTTTCTTTGCCAGTGGGCTGCCAGCAGCAACAGCCTGGTCCAAGGTACAGGTAAGAGAGAACAACATGGGTTGCCATTATTCTTCTTTCAGTGAGAGGGGGAATGATAAAAGGTTGAGATAAATCGACTCCACCTTGTTACAGGATGTGGTGGACTATCACAAAGCACTTCTTTAGAAGCTACAGGAAAAGATTGTTATTTAACAAAATTTGCCTTGACTGAGGAAGTGTGGCCTGCTCTGTGCCTTTGGCACGATCTCTGAAGGAACGTCTCTATTCTCTTGATCCTAAGAAAGCAGATGATCGCATAACTACTCTCCTACTAAAGGTGGTCGCGGCTGCTTGCCCCATGAGAACAGGCTCTGACAGTTCATACAGTGACTGAAAACTACCATGATGCTTCCAACAATGGGCGAAGGTCCAATGAGGAGGGGGCTGGAGGGAGACTAATTTCTCCCTCATCTCCATCCTCAAACT